GGGGGGGGGGTCTGGGCAAAGATGGGGTCACAGTCCCAAGGACCCAGCACCCCCAGGGTGAAGGTCCCTGCCCCCCAGGCCAGACCAGGGAGAGAACCAGCCCACAGGAGGGCACCCCAAAGCAGCATAGAGGGAAGTGGTAGGAAAGGGACTGTCCTTGGATGGCTGAGACTGGACCTCCATGGGCCCTGGAAGGGTGGGCAGGTCTTCCCATGCAGAGAGGTCCAGGACCAACCTTCAGGGTACAAGGCCCTCTGCTATCCTGGAGAAGGGAGATAATGACAAGATTTGCTTTCTAGCATTTTCTGCCAGTGCTTCCTGCGTAATTCGGAAGCAGACATCATCCCCCAACCACCTCCCACTCCCGAGAACCTGAGCTTCCTCATCGGTAAAATGAGGGATTTGGATCCATGATGTCCAAAGACCCCTAGCTTTGGGGGCCTAACCTCCTCCTCAGGACTGGCTCAGAGCCCCATGTTGTCCACGCCCGGTCCTGGGCTAGAGCTCAGTAGCTCGGTGTGCCTCCAGAGTCAGAGCTGGCCGGACCTGGCTCACTACTTCCCCTCCGTGTGGCCCTAGGCCAATCTCGGAAGCTTCTGAGCTTCATCTTTCTCTTCTATAAAATGTGGATAATGAAACCTACTACATGGAGTTATTGTGGTGATTAAATGACATAATGTGAAGCACTTAGCACTGTCCCTGATACTTACGTGTTTCATAAATCCTTCCTGTTTCAACCTATTATTATTTCTTCCTTCACTCATCCTCCAGAGTGGGCCAAATTCTCCTGGACCAAGTTCTCCCTCTGAGCCTCCCCTGCCTCTTACCCTCGAGCCCAGCACCATCCATAGCACTTAGCTCTGCCAGACTCTGTGGGCCCCACAGCACAAGCGGGGCCTGGGTATGGGTAGCTGCCCCATTGTGTGTTTGGGACTTGAGGGTTTACAATGCGTGTGCACAGTCCTGTCTCCCACCCCCTCACAGCCCTGTTCAAACAAAGGTCCTCCTATCCCCATTGTACAGGTGAGGAAACTACAGGAAACTGGGTGGAGTTGGCTGAGAGACAGAATTTGGACAAATCCATTCAGTTCATGTCCCACCCCACACAGCACCTCCTTGACCAGGACACTTGGACTGGGGCATGCCCCACTCCAACCTGCTGTTCCAGGACCCTCGTGCCCAGCCTATAACTCCTGCCTGGCCTCTGCCTGCATCCTTGCCTTTGCTCATTCCTCACCCACAGAACTCACTCTTCTTCCTGTCACACCATTTGTGCAGCCAGCAGCCTTCCCCTGTGGGCGCTCCAGGAAGGCATAAGATCCAGCCTCACCTTGAAGAAACTGCCAGGCTGGTAGGGAGGCAAGTCCCAGCCAAGAGAAGAGCTGACCACAAGTGCAGGCAAAGTGGAGCCAGTAGGGATGCTCTGAGGGCCTGGTGAGGAGGCCTCATGGAGGACTTCTCAGAGCCTGATCCAGCAACGCTCGGAAGTGTAGATCAGGAGAATAAGAGGATGCCCTCCCAATGTCAACAGTGATGGTCTGTACAGAGTAGCTCCTAGAAATTGTGTTCAGGGCAGAGGAATAAGAAGTCTCTTAGAATCACACAGAGGAGTAAATCCTGATTTTATCACTTACTAGCCCCTGACCTTGGGCAAGACACTTAACTTCTCTGAGCCTCCATTTCCTCATCTGTAAATGAGATGACAATAGCCACCTGGTAGAGTTTTGGTGAAGACTAAGAAGTGTAGAGTATCTACAATGGGGAAACTCATTGTGGTAAGTGAGTAGGCACTTATTGAATGGAATAGTTACCATTACCACATCACCATCGGCACCACCTTTGGATCTTTGAGAAGAGGCAGATGTACTGCAGTATAAAGAGAGCTGGGTGGGGAGATAGTGGCCTGAGTTTCAGCCTCAGTCCTGCCCCATTCAAGGCCTCGGCCTCCCCATCTGTAGAAGTCAGCCCTGAGCTCTTCTGGCCTGTGATGCTATGTTTCTCTCAGCTCAGAGCCTGGTGACTTGGGGAGGGCTGCTCTTCTACCAGTCTCTGAGGGACCTTCTGTTCATTCCCTCCTCTTCTACTGTGATGCTCTAACTGGTCTCCTAGCATCCTTCCCCATGAGATGAACCACTCGGAGCAGCTCACTTGTTCTGGACTCACAAAGAGCTAATCATTTCCAGTTAGGAACATAGGCATATGCAGCTGATACTGCTGATAGCCGCCTCCCCACTCAGTCTGTACTTTCCAAAGCACCTGGGACCACCACTTTTCCTGGTCCTCCTAGACGCCCCAAGGAGAGACCTCTTATCCTCTTTTTCAGAGGAGGAAACTGACTCTGGGCAGGGCAGCAACTTGTCCAATTTCTCACCAAAAGTTAGGGATAAGCTGGGACCAGAGCTTGGCTTCCCGCTGCCCAGCCAAAGACAAAAATTACTTTTTTTTGAACACCTAGACCATCAGAGCTGAAGGATCCCGGAGATCTAAGGATCTGAACCAACTCCTCTGTGTACCGATGGGGAAACAGGTACAGAAAGGGGCATGGGCTTCCCTCCACCCCACAAAGCAGCAGCGGGTTTCCTGGGCACTGTGTTCCTGCTGGCCATGCTCAGTGTCACAGGAATTCTGCCACTAACAGCCTGCAGGAAGTCACAGGATGTGCAGGCCCTTAGCGAGGCCAGTCTGGCCAGGGCAGGAGCTGGCGTTAGCCCCATCTCCACCTCTGACTTGTGAGACAGGGTCCCCACCCTTCCCTGTGCCATCCTTACCGGGAGGGCTTTGTTTAGATGTTTAGGTCTCCAAAGTCCTTCATATCCAATATTCTACTTGTCAAGAAAAATCAGGAAACAGTTGATTTTTGTCTCTGAAACTGACCATGTCCCCTCTCCTAACCCTTCCCCCAGGAGTGTGTGAGCTGTCAGTGCTCCCACCTCTGGCCCAGTGGGTTCCTGTGCCACCCTCGTAGGAGAGGATCATTTGTCATTTTAGACTCCAGAAAATGGACACTGAGGATTAGCCACGGATAGCTTGGCTCATAAAGACAAGTTCCTGAAGTTAGTCAACTCCACACTACCATAATCCAAAATTGAGGATGACTTTAGCTGCATTAACAGACAAAAAAACCAAAATAAGTAAGGTGTTAGGAACCCAGGGAAGGAGGATAGGGAATTCCTGTCAGAGCCAGTGCCCCCTTCAATCCCTGTAGCCATGGGTCACTCTCCTGACCCCTGCAGCTTGATCCTTCTTTCCTTTTTTAAGGGCAAGCTCCCCCAAAGACCCATCTGCCATGCTGTGCTGTTGGGGCTAACTCTGTCTGTTTGCAGATCCTAAGATTCCTGCACAAGGGTCCTCAGATGGCAAAATCTCCAAGCAAGCTCTGTCCTGGGGAGCCCCCATTCCCACAACAGCCTGGACAGTCACACAGTCACGACTTCTGCTGCCAGTCAGCTTCCTAAGTCTCCTGCCAGGGGAGTGCCTCATATATGGCTCATTCCCTCCTGTCCCGCTCAGGGACCTGAAAAAGTCACTTGGAAAATTCAATCTGTTCAGATCCTAGGGCTCTAGGGAGCCAAGCACAGAAAGGGAGGAGGGAATAAATGGGAGAGGAACCAAGGGAGGAAGGAAGGGAAGAAGGAAGGGAAGAAGGAAAGGAGGGAGGAGGCCTTCAGCACTTTGGACAGCTCCACACCTGGCTGGGGCTCCCAGGAGGAAAAAAGAGTAGGTGAGCACTAAGGAAACCAGCATTATTGAACTTCCACTACGTGCCGAGCTCTGTGCTGGGCACTGCTTACACAACACACTGAGACAGGTGTTATTATTATTCCCACTTTATAAATAAGGAAAGTGCAGCTCAGAGTGGTTAGGTAATAGACCAAGGGCAGACAGCTGACTAAATGGCAGGGCTGACCATAGGTCCAAGCTTCTGTTCCTCTCACCACATTAATTCTTTGTGAATTATAATAGTTTTTTTCTATCTTCTCTTTTGATGTGGACCCTTATGTGGATAAAGACACCACAGTCCAGTGGACTTTCAGCCCCTCCTCTTGCATCTGCTCTCTCCTACCAAGCTGAAATTACATTCCCTGTCTCATTTAACCCTTACAACAGCCTTGTGAGGTGGGTGTTGTAGTTTGCTTTATTCACATCACTTTGTTTAGTAAACAATATTTACTGAGCGCCTAATATCTTCAGATACCATTC